GCTTATTTATATAAATATTCCTATATACCAGAAATAAACTCAAATAGTACACATTAAATCAATATTATTTTAGCAATTGGTTAAATCTGAAAGTTCAGTTCTTAGGAACGATAAATGATAATACCATCATCCTTAAGGAACAATAATACCATTGTCTCTAAGGAACGATAAAACCATTGTGTCTTAGAAATAATAAATGCATCGTACCTAAGGAATGATAAAATTGTCATTCCTTAAGTACGATAATATTATCATTCTTAAGGAACGATAAATGCATCGTACCTTAGAAATAATACCATCGTCCCTAAGGAATGATAAATGTATCGTACTTTAAGAATGATAAAATTTTCGTTCCTTAGATATGATAAATGCATCGTACCTTAAAAATGATAAAACTATCATACTTTAGGAATGATAAATGCATCGTACCTTAGGAATGATAATACCATTGTCCCTAAAGAACGATAAAACTATTGTGTTTTAAGAACGATAAAATAATTGTTCCTTAGGTACGATAATACTACCGTCTCTAAGGAATGATAAAACTATTATGCCTTAGGAACGATAAATGCATCATACCTAAAGAACGATAAAATTATCGTTCCTTAGGTATGATAATACCATCATCTCTAAGGAGCGATAAATGCATTATACCTTAGGAATGATAATACCATCGTCCTTAAGGAACAATAAAACCATTTCTAAGGAACGATAAAATAATCATTTCTTAGGAATGATAAAACTATCGTTCCTTAGGAATGATAAAACTATTGTTCCTTAGGTACGATAATACTATCATCCCTAAGGAACAGTGCAACCGTTCCAATCGGATGTCAATCAGTTATAAATAAGATAGGTCAAATTTTGGCTGATTCTTGGCTGATTTCTAATGTATGCCAATTGGCTAGGCTGATTTTTGATAATTTGCTGATTTAGACCGATTTTAGGCCGATTTAGGCTGATTTTTGCATGTCTGATTTTTTTGATTTCGACCAGTGAAAATATGAAGTACAAGCCAAAAAAGCTTTAGTTAAGGTCGAGAAGCAAAAGGATGCTAATGTATCTACATGAAAAATTATATCACAATACAAATCATCAATTTCAGCGTTAAAAAAATATATAAATATTGAATACTAAGATATTTTGCCAAATTTACTGATTCCTAGTATACATCTTCTTACAATAACATAGTAGAACTTGATAATTCAGCTATTAACAAAAACTTGTTTTTCAATAAGGTATACATATTTTTTTCGTATGTTTATAATTGTATCATGTAATAACTAGAATTATCAGTTTATATTAGAAAAGAAAAAATCAAAAAGTATATGAAAATGAGAATCAAGATATGAGTAATGATGATGATATCATCCAACCTCAACCGTCTATAAAGACAGCCAAAAAATAACTAAGAACTCTATACCAATTACCTAACAAGTCTCAACAACAATCTATAAGTAAATAAATTATCTGCTTCATTAACAGAGGACTCTATAATACAAAAAATATTAGCATTACTAATATATATATCAAACAAATATGACGCGATAATTATTGGCTTCTCTTCAATATTATCAACATTATCTCAACTTCTTGAGATAACAGATAAGTATTATATATTCTTTTCATGTAGTATCTTCTGATCCGCTTGAATATTACATTATAATGAAAATGTAGGAGGTATTAAGCGTAAGAAATCAGAGGCATTTGGTGATTCATCAACAAAACGTAAGTTGTTTTATTTAGTTATATAATATTATCATTATAATTAATAGATATTTAAACATTTGCATTTTATAATTTTATTAGATTTAAACTCAATACAAATATTAAATCTGTACTCGATAAGATATTTAAAGAATAGCTAAACAACGCATAATAGTTAACACTTTAAAAGTTGGTAATGATGAAATAAAACATGAGATCTCTTTATAATGCTAACAGAAGGACAGTTAAATATGACAACTGAACAAATGCATAGAGAAAAACCAAAGCAAACGTCTGAAAAAAAAAGACACTAAACATATATGTTAGGATGTAGGTATTAACCTATTGATAAAATCAACAGTTTTAAATATTTTTTTATTTATTTTAGGCTTTAATGACGAAAGCTTGTCAACAATTATTTCAAGTAAATAAGAACTCATCAGATACAGAAATTGAACAAGCTTTCAGATTACAAGTTGAAAATGATTATCCTTATAAGATACAAGAGCTTATTAATTCAGATAGATGGGCTGATATGTGAAATACTAGATACTCTATTGTATTTTTTTTATTATATATAAATATAATATTGCACTAACATATATTTTATATATAATAGACATTGGAATACTTTCGCAATCACAGGAGTTATATGTTCGCAAAATAAAAGAAGCTATTTATATATTATTAAATTTATTCTCTTATAAACTCAGTCAATTTGCTAGTCCTGAAGAAGTTAGACATTGAAAAGAATCAGAAAGAGTTAAACAAATGAAAAACAATCTATGTAACAAAATAAATAATAATGACACAGATTTATCATATATTATCAAAACTATTTTACAAAAAGCATTTAATGAAGAGAAGTTACAAAATAAAGATAATATAATCTTTGGTATTACAGTAATATTGATATTCTTCAATCCAACATATGATCAAGCTGAAATAGTATCATCAAAAGTACAGAAACGTATGAACAAATGGGATTCTGATCCAATTGTACGAAATCGGGTAAGTTATTATTCATTTAATCTGAATTACTTTTATTTACTAATAAGTCTTATTATAATTTAGCTTGAGTATAAGGAATCATCAGAAAATGATATAATGAACCATGATAGTATAACTGAGGATAATAATAAAGAGTTTGCAGATTTTAATAATCAATCAAATAGTTTAGAAGAAGGTGATAATCAAGATAAAAAGGACAATTCAGATGATAGTAACGATATAGAATAATGATAATACATATTTTTAAATATCCTATATGACCTTGTTTCAGAAGTTAATACTACAGTTCCTATATCTTATAATCCATTTAAAGATGTCAAAATTGGAGTTATCAGTTGGTAATTAAAAATATCTTACTTTTTTCTTTTTAAACCATCGTAACGAAAAATTTTATTTTTCTTTTAGATTATAATATTATTATATTTCTTTATGGAATTTCAATTTTAATAAAATTGCTATAGACCTGGTAATACAACAAAAATAATCGAAACAATAACTTATATATGACCAATATTCTAATTAATATTATTATATATTTATTACAATAATAAACCAATAATAAACTGTATGTTATAATCACATGATTTTCAACACGTATTATTAAAAGTTAAAATAGGATCCTGCTTACTTTTAGTAGAGGTCACCCACAAGCCTAAGGTAAAAATTATATAGAATGATCAAAAAAACTAGTTGAATTTATAAGGTAAATTTACTTAATATTAAAAAATGTAATTGAAATTTCGTGGTAAATTTTTTTTATGTAACTGATAATATATGGTAAAATAAAAGCATTTTTTTTAAAATGTAACTTATAATTAATAAGGTAAAATCTATATATTCTTTGAAGATGTTACATTTATTTATAAGGT